CTGTCTTGTCATATGTCAATACTGTGTACTCATGATGTTTTCTTATTGTGTTTCCAGGATGTTATCTGTCATTTCCAGCCAGCAAACTGGTGTCAGGAGAGCACTGCAAGATTGTGCAAGATGAAAGCTCGGGCCTGGTGTGGCTTGAAGACATGAGGTACTGTACACTGAATGTTTACCCATCATTTCCCCTAAACGGTCAGTGCAGATATTGTTGGATGTATCATGTGTTAACTCCCCCAAACAGATCACTAACTGAACAAATAATTGAAATGTTTGAAAGAGAGATTATGCTTGTATTTTTATAGCTGTTTGGAAGTGTACTTGACCTTTCCCAAAGCCAACTCAACAAACCTTTACAGTGACACATGATTGCACTTCTGTTTGTGTGTAGCACTAATGGCACAGTGATCAACATGTCCAAACTGGTCAAGAAGCAAACTCACATGCTGCAGAACGGTGATGTCATCCACTTTGTTTATAGGAAAAGTGAACCAGAACAAAGTAAGATGTGTATATTGTTTGCCATGATAATAATAATACGGTTTAAATGAATTTATAAGAATTAAAGTTGGACAACTTCCTCTCTTTTCACCCTGTAGACATCGCCTATGTTTACCACTCAATCAAAACGGAGCAAGCTATTTCACAACCTTGTTATGGTAAGGAGCTTGACAGTTTATTTTGTCCAGTTCAACCACCGTAACCCCCCACCACTCACCCTCCTCCCTGTTCCTGACTTTAGATGTGGAGAGACCAGCACACAGTCCTGCTTCTGTCCCAGCTTCAGACATGTCGCTCTCTGTGGAGCCTGTGATGCTCACAAAGGCTCCTTGTGATCCGACTCAGGAGGAACCTCAACCCTCCACCTCAACTTCCCACTTCTGCATCGAAAGTCCCCTCACTTCTGGTCCCATCGCAACCACAGCCTCTCCCGCCTCTGGTAGGTCCTCTGCTAACACGTTATTAAAAGATGGGTTGATAAGACTTTAAACTAATGTCATGTTATTACAACAAATGTATTGAAATTGAATTGGAATAAATGACCTGGAATAATTTATAACTGTGACAACAAAATGCCAGCAGGTGTGGTCAGAGTAGACACGTTTATATGGACAACAATATCCCTATATGAGCCAGATTAAGATAATAGTTAGAATAAGACGCTGCCATGTAAACACTAGTTTCTGATTACCTTAACCTGAATGAGGTCATACTCAGAATAACCAAAAATCAAATTAAGACGTGAAGTATTCCAAACTTTGCATTGGGGAGGCCTGTATATATTATAACAAATTATGACGCACAATGGCATTTTCAAAACATTTTGTTACATCGACATACAGCAGTTACCAACTGCTTGACGACGCATGCCCTGGGTTACAGTGTAAACAAGATGGCTGGCTCTATTAAGAAGTCAGAAATAACAGCGGCTGATGAAGATGTAGACCTGCTGATGATAGTTTGTACCTGATGAATTTTTATCTTGGAACAAGCTCTAACTCTGTGCAGACTGTTTTGTCTAAAACATGGTGATCATCACACTATCTTCAGCATGGCGTTTATCTTGCACCATAGTCTCTCTCCTGCTTCGTACAATGACTTTTTCCAAACAAATCCTAACTTTGATTGTGACTGACTGAGCCAGTTCCACCACCTTCCCAAACTTTTAGACACTTAGAAAAGTTTTTTGAGACGCGCTGCTCTGATTAATTGGCCACAAAGTGAACGTACAATGAGATCGAACTTGGCAGAGTCAGATCCTGGCAGCCGACTGGCCCTGTGGTCAATATAGTTACTAGATGATGGAGTAAATGGCCTTTGTTTCTCTGAACATTGTGTTATCAAACTGCTTTCAAAGCACATAAGTAGCTTCTTTTGTGGAACTAGCACTTCCATTCACTGTCAGCATTGTGTGTTGCCGCTATACATAATCTTAATGTAAACACACAAAATACATGTAACACGATTAACTTTTAATTTGTGTGCAGAGATCTCTCTTTCACTTCAGTAATGTTCTAAATGTTGTCTGCCTTTCAGCTTTAACTGGTCAATCACTGCTTGTAATTTTTTCCTGATGTCAAAAAATGTCATGAAACATATTATATGAGACATTCTAAGTTGGATCTGTTTCATCTGAGTTTCTCCTATCACCTTTGCACAAAGTATTAACAACATAATGTGACCCAGATGTGTTGTTTTCTATTTTTTATCAGGTTGTGCTAAAGAAGATATGGAAAATATGGAGCCAGAAAGTAAACGGCGGAAAAAAGATGACGGTTAGTTTTTTAGTACCCTGGTTTTCCTTGATTTATTACCTACTATTCCAAAACTTGATGGAAGGATGGAAAATGGCTCAAAAAAGAACCTGTTAAATTTTGGTGCCTTCATCCAAAGGAGCATATCTGAGGTCAGACACTTATGTTGGACAAGAGGACCTGGCTTGCAAACTCCGTTTTAGTTCATCCCAAAGGTGTTAACCCTAGATCAGGGCTCTGTGCGGCCCAGTCAAGTTCTTCCACACCAAACTCACTCAACCATCAACCTTTTTGTACCCTTTTTATCGACCTTGCTTTGTGCACTGGGGCAGAGTCGTGCTGGAACAGAGAAGGGCCTTATTCAAACTGTTCACGCAAAGTTGTAAGCATAGAATTGTCCAAAATGTGGTAAACTGAAGCATTAAGATTTTCCTTCACTGGAACCAAGGGGCCTAGTCCAACCAATGGCAATGGGACTGAATGAAACACCTGAATTCAATGATGAAGATATTTATACCAATATGTTTGTCCATATAGTGTATATCTATGTGTGTGTGCAGTTTGATTGAGTTTAAGGGTACTGTTAGAATTGTCAGTTGAATGCACTCTGCTGGGTGTCATTCTAGTTCACAGTGGTTTTAAATATTATGGGAGCTTTAGTCAGAAATTTGTTCAGTCCCAAATTCTTTTCACCAGCCTTGAGCTGAGCCTGGAGGGTTTTTGTGCACCAAACCAGACAAATCCTCAAAATGACTCAGTGTAGCATGTAATATACACTATTTGTGTTTACAGATAAAGATTATGATTCACGTCCACCACAATCCTCCAGTGCAGAAGTCATCGGTGCAGCTAAGGGAACTCAAGGGAGTGTTTTACCCAAACCTCCAGTGGAAGGGGCTAAAACCGACAAGATGGAGGAGTCTCTGACATGTGTTATTTGCCAGGACCTGCTGCATGATTGTGTCAGGTAAGATCTCAAGGGCTGTGAAGTTTAGGGATTTTATCCCCACTTTGTGGTCTTGCAAGGTACATTGGATATGCATGCATGTGCATCAAATTTGAATAGTGTTTGAGTTGAATACTGAAAGTCTTGTTTTTGCTTCAGTTTGCAGCCTTGCATGCATGTCTTCTGTGCTGCCTGCTACTCGGGCTGGATGGAGCGTTCTTCACTTTGCCCCACCTGCCGCTGCCCTGTGGAGAGGATTCGTAAGAACCACGTCCTCAACAACCTTGTGGAGGCTTACCTCATCCAGCACCCAGGTTTGAACAGATCAAGATCATTTTAATCGTGATACATTAGCACTTCATATCATTCAAAATACCAGCTTCTTCTATCAAAAATAATGTGATAAAGAACAAGAGGAAAGGAATGGTGTGTCAGCAAGATCTACTTATTTTATTTTATTTCCCAAAAAGGTGATTCCATGTTGATTTTGTTTGTGTTGATGTGAACCTTTCTGTCCCACAGAAAAGTGTCGCAGTAAGGAGGACCTGAAGAGCATGGACAGCCGTAACAAGATAACTCAGGATATGTTGCAGCCAAAAGTTGAGCGCTCTTTCTCTGATGAGGAGGGAAGCTCAGATTACCTCTTTGAGCTCTCTGACAACGACAGTGACTCTTCAGACTTCAGGTAAAAGTTCTTGCAGTTTACATTTGTAGGAAACCTATATCTGTATATTACCTATATAACATTTTTTTTGCATGGGCCATGATTAAAAATACATAGAAAACATTGTAAGTAAAATATATATATACAATATATATATATACAATATATATACACACATACACACATAGTTTACTTAAAAAAACACTTAAATATGAAAACATTTAATTTCATAACAATATCATGACATTATGTTTGTTTTTTTTCATGTTTTGTAAACTTCTCTGTGTGATTATTTTCATTCTGTGTTTTTGACTCCAGTCAGCCTCTGTTGGTGTGCAGACAGTGTCCCGGCTACAGGCGGGAGGTCAGTCAGGTGCTGTTTGCTACAGGTTCAAACTACTGGTTCCCCGGTCTGTCCGCTCCAGCGCCTGTACCTGCTCCACCCAAACCAGCAAATGAGGAAGGCTCTGCAAAGCCCACAGGGGAACAGCCCTCAACATCCTCTGATGACCCCTCTGGTGATTATGAGCGTAGATTCGATGGGAAGATTACTAGCTAAAGTTAAACATCTTTTCTCATAATTGCAGGATAATCCACACTGTTATAATTCTAATACCAAAAACAGGAATTGCTGTCTCTCTAAAAAAAAAAAAAAAAAAAAAAAAAAAAAAAAAAAAAAAAAAAACATTGCGGTACAACTGTAAATTTCCTCCTGGCCTCCATCAGATTCCATAGTCTGTCTAAAACCATTTTCTGCCCCTTTCCTGTCTGCAGCTCCTCCGGAGTACTGCTGCCCCCCTCAGGGCTGCCATCTCATCTGCACCTGCTGCCTCCAGCCAATGCCAGAAAGACGGGCAGAGCCGAACAGCCAGCAGGTCGCTGCTCAACATTGTGAGTGCCCTCCAAACTTATTAGTCCCTTTGCACAAATCTAACAGATATAAATATACTGTCAGTCAGAAACTACATGTAACTGCAGTGACAAAGGAAGGGAGTTCATGTAGGAAACTAAGAATCATATATAAGTCAGTCAGTGCAGGACAGGTACACAGAAAATTGTGTCACGCTCTTCAGAATAAAGATGTATTTAATATACATACTTTGAAGTATGCAAAAATCAGTTAAAGATAGTTAAAGCACAACTTAATTGCACAAACCTCATTTCTCACCTTGTATGCATGATGTGTTGTGTGTTGGCAGGTGTGCTGTGCCAGCGACCCTTCTGTCACATGTACTGGGGTTGCCAGAGGATTGGCTGTCAGGGCTGTCTGGCTCGATTCAGTGGTATGTATGTGTTTGAGCAAAACAGCCCCAGGGGGATCTCAAACTGTTCCCCTTATTGCTGGCTGGTAGGTTTGGAGCAGTGTGTTTTGGCTGTTACCAATATAACTTTTAATTGAGATGCAGATTGTGTCGTACTACATTACTCTATAATTTTGACAATTGTCATGAAATTAAAAAAAGTGTTTCCCACAGATGTTTAACCTCAGCAGATAGTAAAACTAATGGAACATTTTATGCATTGTAGTTTGCTAAATGTTCTGCGGTAAAAATTCAGTGTTTTTTTTTTTTTCAGATCTCAATCTGACAGACAAATGTTTGGATGGAGTGCTTAACAACAATAACTATGAGTCAGAGATCCTCCAGGTAAGAAGGACTTCATGGGAAATATTTACTTGTTATTCACCATTTTTGTATTTATTTGTATATTAGAATGGTTTATTACTTGTTTAAGTCAATTATTAATGGAATGCTATTTCTATCGTGGATGGTTGAACTGCAAATAAAATGGTTTTATAATTGTGCCTCACTCCTATGCCACCAAATTGAGATTTGAGCACGGAAAAATACATTTTGAAAGCACATAAGATAAATTATTTGTAAGCAAATACTAGTATTTCATTTGAGCAAACAAAAATCTATTCTGTGTGCAATAAATGTATTTGTGTGTTTATCATTGTCCATATATAGATGTTCAATAATAAAACTCTTGTGCTGCAAACCCATTCACATTGTCTCCCTCTCAACCTCGCCACTCTGTGAGCGCTCAACTTTGACTGCACACACACAAAGCTTGGCACGACCAGTGACCAATTGTGTAAATTTAAGAATAGATGTAAATTCTGAAAAAACAAATCACACCAGACAAAATATATATTTTTCTATCCTCCAAATCTCTCGTTCAGGATTCTGTATCCACTAAACTGCTTTTGCTACTGTACATAAATACAATCTACAGATGCCAAGTTTACCACCTAAAGCTTCTATAGTGCACTTACATGCTGAGACTGTCACATGCTTGAAGTGTCTGCTCATACTGTCATGTGTGGTGTTAAGATGCTTTTGTGTGCGTTTCCTTCCTTCCACTAGAACTACCTGTCCTCCCGGGGGAAGTCATGGAGAGATCTTCTTCAGGAGGCTCTGCAGGGTTTACAGCAAGCAAACTACTGTCTGACAGGTGAGCGCTCAGATCAAAACCGACACACTTCCATTGGTAAGTAGTGGATTTTGATACAGATACATCTGGAAGATCTACAGTGACACTCTGTGTCTCATTCACTGCCATGCAGCACGCACAATGTGGCTGAAGTAAGTCCCGGTTGTCATATAAAACAGGAAGTGATGACTTTCTGACTTTCAGATTGCCGCATCTCTGCGAACACCGTCATGTGCTTCTGCTGCGGTGTGCGAGCATTTAAGGAGCTGGCCTACAAGTACAGACAGAACATCCCTCTTTCTGAACTGCCAGGTCAGACACACCAAGAGTTTTTTTTAAAGGTTTTTTTTAGGAAACTTGCAGAGAAATGTTATGGTTGTGTTTTGTTAAATTTAAAGATTTTCACCTAAACATGCCAGTGTAATAACTTTTCCTGATATTCTTCCTCAGCTACTGTAACATCTCGCCCCGACTGTTACTGGGGACGCAACTGCCGTACACAGGTGAAGGCTCATCATGCAATGTGAGTCTTATTAGATACAAAACACCACATAAATGCACACGGAGCATATCTGCCCTCTGCTGGGTGCATAGAGCAAAAATGTAGTTTTAGTAACAGTGAAGCTTTATCAGTGATTTGTGTCTCCACTGCAACTTTGTGTCTGTGTGCCCTTAAGGGTTTAAAATCTTGAATTATATTCAGATGTTTCATGGTTTTGTTTTTTCCTGGGCTGAACGGCTGAATCCCTTTTTATTTCTTCTTTACTGTTCTATTTGTTTATCAGTAGCATTGATAGCTTAAAAAGGTGCTGACCAGTGAACTGCACAAACCTATGCATCTGGTTTTGATTGTCCTTTCTACCACTATGCAGCGGGTACCACCTGCATGCATTAATGTCAATATTTAATAACTGTTGTTATAACTGTGCGTTGTATGGTATTGACATGTTTAAGTAATGGTGTTGTTGTAAAATAGAATCTGAGCTTCAGTTTTCAGTAGCATTTAAATTTAGAATTTGTTGCACAGATTTCTCCAGTTGTGGAGTCATTAATCTAATGAGAGAGATTTCTGATCATACATTGGACACAAGCAACACAGGATGTGAGACATTGAAAGCCATCTCTATGCATGTAGTTTGTTCATTTTACCACTAGAGGGAGTCCTTGTATAAACTTGGACTTATTTTCTCATTCTGCCTCCTAAGGAGCTGTGTGACATGATTCATGTCATCTCATCTCTTTGATTTGAATCTTTGACCTAATTTGTATGGTTTCTTCTCTTTTGTTTTCATTTCAGCAAATTCAACCACATTTGTGAGCAGACACGTTTCAAGAACTGAAGCAGAAGAGTGGTTTGTCTCCTCAGTGTCAAATGTTCTGATCATCTCACACATGATCTTTTTATGTCCATCGTAGCCTTCCTGCCATTATGCAATAAATGAATGCAGAAATTACAATCAGTATACATTTACATTAGTGACCAGTGTCTCGCTTTGCACAGGTCTGTGCGAAATAATGCTATGCACGAATTCAGCTTCAACAACTAAAGTTAAGTTTCAACATGTTCGGACCTGGTTATTTGCATTAAACTGCAGCCACCATTTATATTGTAATCATTTTCTCTGTGGCTCATGCATTTGTCTAATTTACCCGGTAACAACCACTTTTTGACAGTTATTTATTTGTTTTTAGTTAATTGTACTTCCTGGTATGTCAGGCCTCCAGCCTGTGTGACAAAAATGTTTTCCTCTCAGATAAAGAGCGATTCAGGCAATCTGTAAGGAATAAGGCCATGTACTGTATGTACACATACAAATGTTGATATGCATGTTTAATGTTATATCTTTATTCAGCCTTAGTTATAGAGTCTTAAAGGATATGATGCATATTTTCTATTTTACGTCAGTGTTTTAACAGGCTTAAGAGATGCAAGGCTTCAAATGTTAGAAAGTCAACACAAACATCTGTTGCAGTCAAAGTGAAGTGATAAATAGTTTTACAGTATTACAGTTATAGTAACGCAATGTGGCCCCATTCTGTGCAGATATGATTCTCACAAGATCATGTCTCACCTCTGATGGTCGGTTCCTGTTTTGCAAGAGCAAAAGTTCATGTCAAAGCCCCTCACACAAACTAGGGTAGATTTATAATCTCATGTGATATTCTTGTAGGATTTCATGTCTGTGGGAAGGGGATCAACGTGTTGTAATGCAGTCAGAATGCACTGGAGGCTCCTTTGTATGCTTTGCTCTGGATAATCATCTCTAAAGTGATTAAAGTTGTGTAGAAGGGACGTGTTCTTAGAGCCTTGTAGTAAGGGCTAAGCCACGAGGAAATGCAGTTACTTCATGTCGACCTAGGTGTGGAAAAAATCCTGGCTGCACTCTAAGCAACCACTAACAATGAATCTGACGGGGCTTGTTTTCATATGCAACGTGTTGCAGGTTAAATAGTGCCAATACAAACACAGGAGTGTGTTTTGTCATTTTTGGGTTCTGGTTATATATGTTGTAGCTTACCTTGCAAGCTTTGTGATAGAGGTTTGTTCAGATCGTGTTGAAGTTTTGGAGATTTTAGATGATCAGAGTGTTGGATCTAGTTGGATTTAAAATTTAAGTTAAATAGAATCATTTTCTCTGGTTCCTCAGGTGCACAGAGCTGCTGTTTTGATGTGTTAAATGCAGGCTAACCATGGTTAATGGTCAAAGGTCAAAGGTTCTGTGTCAATGTAAAAGTCTATTGATGTAGATACTACAAATCAGCCCACAGGGTTTTTCCCTTTCTTACAGTTTTCACTTCAAGAGGCCTTATATACTGAAATACTGGGATAAATATTAGTCTTGATGGTCGCCTGTTTGGGTTTTTTTGTTAGTAGGGTCACTGTTAGTGTGTAGAAATACTGGTGAATATGAAGAGCAGAGGGAAGAAAAATGTTCAAATCAGGCCTTGGCTTGCATTAGTATATATGATGTATAGTTTCACACAAACATTTTGATCTTGTTTTTTGAAATTATTTAGTTTACTTTTGCTTAATGTTTCTATATTGTACAGCAATATAGGGTATTTGCACATATTTGTCCCACACACATTTAAAGGCTTCTTTTTTAAAGTTTAAGATATGAACTGAACATCCTGGAGGAGGTGTCTGTGGTGTATCCATTGTCAATAATCTTTCTCATAATACAAACGTTTTAATCATATGAAGAGTTTAATTCCAAAATCACATATACATCACCAAAAAGAAAAATACACATTTGAAATATATACTTTTTTAAAGAGATCCTTAACAGTGTAAGAGTTTAGAAAATGATGTGCATTTGTGTTATAGTTTTAGTAACATCAGTCATGTATGTACACAATATGTGTTGTTTCGGAATGTAGCTCTTTATTTTCATTGCAAATCTTACATGGATTTGTGAATGGGCACTTTCCCGGCCTCTGCCTGAGCTCCTTAGTTAATTTGTGGTGTTCGCATGGTGGGGTAGGTGTATTTTGTTGTTTTGTTTCTTGGCCCCCCTCAGCCACAGTGGGTCCATATTGGCATTCCTCAGCAGCTCAGGCCCTCAGCACAAGCCTGGTCGATCCCCCCCGACGGAGTGGCTAGGTTTTAATTACTCCCTACAGGAGATCTGGGCACCCTAAGCCAACAGCAGTTTCAAGCCGCTCCAATCAGGGATTGGTATTAAAGCAGCTTTGGAGCCGTGCTTTGCATTCTCCGTGGGGTCGGACGTGAGGGGTTATGTTGTATGTCGAGGCAAATATTTACTCACCTTGTGTGCAAAAGTCTGGACCAAGCTGCTCAGCAGTAACAGAAAGAGGCAGGTTTCATTCTACCTCAGCACAGCTTCCAGGAACGTGGGAGACTGAACAGGCATCAGTGTCATGTCGGTTCAAAGCTGGCCGTGCATCTCACAGTACAATGGTGATGCCTGTAAACTTTGTAAACAATGCACTATGTGAACAGTTAGTCCACTATAATCCAATTAAATCACTAGAGTAGCACTAGGCACATGCAGAAATTTAAGTTTGAGAATTATGTTTTAGAATTTGATCAATGCTTCTTTACCCTGTATGTTGTATCAGCAAGGCTACAATTTTCCTTGAAATGCAAATGGATCTGATCTGCTTGTCACCATCACAGAGTAAGGAGATGTCTGTAGAAATTGACTTGTTTTTATCAGTACTTCAAACTCATTTTAAAAATGTGATTTGCTTCTTTTACTTCTATTGGATGTTTCGAGTTTCACTATTTGACACAAGAAAGATTCATCTGTTGTGGAAAAAGCTTCTCTATGCTCACCTTTAAACCTGAGATTCTTGCATGTGGGTGTGAGCAGAACTTTGTGACATCACAAAGGAAGAAGCCAATCGTGATCCAAACCCACCAAGAGAAGTAGTTAAACGTGAAATGAAAAATTTAGATTCATAGATAATTGGTTTTTCAGTGAAGCAGTAGATTTTCTGTAAATAATGTTTAAGTTTTTGGGGTTAAAAAATATGCACCCTCCAGTTCAGTAGGGTCCAGTTTACTAAGGATTGTATCTGTAGTGTCACCTAGTGCAAGTGGTGCTCACATAAATGCAATAAATCCCAGTTTGACTCAATTCTCTCATGTTATGTTTGTTTATTTAGTAGGATTACTCACAAACTCCTGAACGGATTACCATGAAGGACGTAGTATGGGTCAGAAATCCAGTTACATTTTGGGGCGGATCCATGAAAATGTTTTCACTTTCTTGAACGCGAGACGCAGCATTTTAACATTTTCGTTGATTTCCCAGAGAATTTATGGATCTTGATTAAAAAATGTCAGGCATGTTGAAGGGATGGACATTTATAAGTGTGTGCAATTTGGTGCAAATCCAAATAAAAATCTATCTAGTGAATTCAAATGTGGTTTCATACAGGGACGATTGGTTTTAACAGAGGTCTTCAGGTCTATTGAGTTCTATTCTAGTTTCATGAAGACAATGTTGTGTGGGGTGAGCAGATCAAGAAACTCGTCTCATGTCTGAAACCTAAGCTCCTCGTGGATGTCTGAGGTTCCGACTGATTGTTCAACATCTTCAATCAGATCAAGGATAAAAAACATGTGGATGACACAGCCTTTATTAAAACTTAACATCAATTCATAATTCATTTTAAATACTATTGTGATCGCTACTTCTCTCTTCATACTACATTTGTGTATTAGTGCTATATATATATATATGCTTTTACATTATTTTGATTTCCCTTTTATAATCCAGTTTCAGTCATAGGAGTACATACTGTATGCATACACAGATGCAACGTTGACGTTATTGTGTGATCTATGCTCTGCAGAACACCTCTTGGATAATAACTGTATAAGCATTTATTAGCCTGTGCTAAAGAAGAACCACATGAACAGGCAGAAAGAAAGTTGCCATGACAGCGCAAAATCCACAATGAATAAGCTATTGAAATCAAAGTGCAAAGGTTAGAGTATAACATCAATGTATAGCATCAAACTGGTTAATAAATCTAGTTTAAAAGTGCTCCTAAGAGATGGGGCAGGGTTGTGGAGTACTTGTGTTCGCATGCAATCATTCATATTTTTTCGGCACATAACACCTCAGCAGTCAGTACCTTGGCATAGTAAGCAGCATAGTATTCCATCTTTGTCCGAATACAACTTTATAAAAATAGACAACTACAGTGAGAAGAATATGTCGTAATTTTGTAAAAGATGATTTCAGAAGTAGGTTATATATTTCAAAGTGGCACTAACAGAGTTCAGAAATGGGCCTGACAGAGTTCCTCCTCTTTCACTATCTGGTCACATCTGGTTGGTCACACTGCACAGCGCTGTCGACTGACTGAGGCACAGCTGGCTGTCACTGACTGCGTTTGACTCGGTCATGGCGACTGATGTGTTGGAAGGGAGTGGACCAACCCCTCCTGATACCTGGCTCCCCCATGGCCTCCACTCAGACCTGGCCCTCTGGTTCTGCGGGCTGTTGCTGGTGCTTCTCGCTGCAGCCCGCTTCCCCTCGTACGCTCCCCTCACCAGTCCATTCATCACAGTAGAGACGGACGTCTGATCCAGGTGCTCAGCTGAGACCAGAGGCTGGCGGTCCTCCTCCTCAGAGATGGCAAACACAGGCACGCTGACATGATCACCCTCGCCTGGGAAATCACGCCTCTTTACGGCCTGGCCGCCCTCCATCTGACACTGGGTGGAGCAAGATGAGCCGGAGCTGGGCTCTGAGGGTGATCCCTGGGACTGAGGAGCCCCAGATGCCTTCCCCTGATCTGCTGTACCAGAGAGGAGGCCGAAGCAAGGGCCCGGGAAGCGTGAGCGCCGCAGGTTGCTGGTGGAGTTGAGACGCCGCTGCCGCTGGGCAGGCTGTGTTAGTGGGTAGGAGGCGTTGCTGATGGATGAGTCAGAGATGGTGCTTGTGTCTGCCTTGGCGTCCAAGTGAATGTCAGAGAAGACCTTCCTGCTGTCTTCTCCCCTGCAGTCAGCTGTCAAACTGGATGGAGCCTGAAATGACAACAGTTTATCAGCTGCAGTTTTCCACAATTGTCACAGAATGAAGAGCACATGTCTAATAAGAGGAATGGAGGCTTCATTGCATTTAATTTTTTCTGTAAGCCAACATGCATAATACCAGGGTTGATTTGTTAATTATGCATATAAAACCTAAACCCTCTACATGTGCCACAAATAAGGGAGAAAATAATGCAATTATGTGATCCTTAGGTCAAACAAATAGTTTAATCTAACACGTTAATCTACATTTAAATTCAATTATCCCATAACAACTGCTAGTTTGTTCACAATGTAGACTTAAAGACACACTTGCACACATTAAAGGTCTCTGGGTATGAAAACGTGAAGGTTCTAGTACTGACGCTGTCCACGAGCTTGGTGAAGGGACTGGTGGAGTTCCAGCTGCACCACTTCTTATGCAGCTGTGGCAGCGGAGGGAGGAAGTCCTGGAACGTGCGTACGCTCCACGCTCTCGGCCTGGAACAGCCACTGCCACCGTCCTTGGCAGATCTGGCACCGGTGGGTGAGCTGGTGGAAACTAGCGATGGCCAATCACCTGCAGGGCTGGGACCAGTGTCACTGTGTCGCAGAAACCTCTCCCGCTGCTAAGAGACACAGAACACGTGAAAGTGAGTATCAGACCCTGTATGGAGCGGGCATGAATAGAGGGTTGTTATTGATGTTGTGGGGTTTATTTTTTAACAAATTTCACAAACTCATAGATATTATTTCCTTACAAGTGCCAGATTTTTCCATAAAGATACATCAATTATTTCCTGAGAAAATGACGAAATAAATAGCTATGTTGAAAAAAAGGGTGGGGGGGAAACGCCCTGGATCCGCACCAAAATTTAATGGGTTCTTCCCTGACCCAGACCGCATCATTCCACCAAGATTTGTAGAAATCTGTTAAGTTGTTTTAGTGTAATCTTGTTCACAAACAAAGCAATCAACAAACACGGGTGAGAACATAACCTCCTTGGTGAATGTAATTAAGACAACACATATGTAGTGCACATATCAGAGATTTAATCATGCACAAGCACTCAACTGCAGCAACAAGGGTCAATAAGGCTGCTTGTTCGGGTCAAACACGCCTCCATCTTTGCTTTTAAGCATCAATGAAACAGCTGGACTCAGTAACAATAGCACTGAAATATAGTATATAAAACAGACAGATGGATGATTCTGTCAGGCAACTGGGAGACTGTAAATTGAATTGCCATGTCAAGAGACACAAGCGTTGAGAAATTACAGAAGTGTATAATATATACAGTAAGAAAAGTATTTGTTGTGTCTTAACATGTAAATTAAACTGCCGTCGTTCAGAGTCCCAACTCCCCTGAGAGCAACAACACTGTCCTCAGCTCGGGGACACTGGGAACTGACAGGCTGCCAATCTGCACCTGCTATACTTCCGCCTCACACCTGAATTCCTGCCTACAGATTGTGTTGTGTTCTTCATTAATGGATTAACAAGAAGGAACTGTGCTGATTAGCTTGGCGCGCTCAGTCGAGCAGCCTGCCAGCCGAGCGTGTGCGGCTCACGTACCAATCTCAGGCGTCATTTATTAAGTATATTAAAGCTGTCAAGGGAAAATCTGCCCGGCTTTGGAACCGTTCCAGACATATTTTTGATGTTGTGTATGCACAACACACACGTACGACACATGATTAAGTCAGAGGACATTTAACGGAGCTGAGAGTCGTATTTGCTTGTGAAACCTGGAGGTTGGTTGTAATTGACAGGTGAGATGAGCAAAGGCCACTTTATCCTTCCTGATCGGTCAGCTGCTGTTGCCCAGGGGAGGAGGAAGGTTTTAGGGGTTGCACCCATCAGACACAGAGTGAGTCCAGATAATCCTTCCCACAGAGTCACTAGCAGCTAGCTTTGTCTAGACAAGAATTAGCTCTGGGTTTAAATGAAATGTTCTTTTGGTCACTAAAGCCCCACAAACACAATGGCAACTTTAAGGATTGACAAATGAGGTGAAAAATCAGCCACCCAACATGGGCGCTTGCTAACACCGCTCCAAAGATGGAGTGTGAGATCTATCAGGGGTCCCTGGAGAATCTCGACATAGAATAATAAATTAAATCTCTATAAATTTCAGACATCAAGGAAAGCAAAGTTCTCTACCTTGATCTTGACACCCTAAGTCCTCTCATTGCTTTATGGCCTTCTTTCAAGGGGTCCTTTGAATCCAAGTGTTATTCAATTGGGCTTCATGGTTTAATGCACACATACACAGTATTTGAGGATGTGTGGTGTAAATATACTATGCTAACCTAGAAAGATCACCTGGCAATTACAATGAGACGATGCTTTTGGCCATTTTCTGTGACCTTTGCCACTGTTAGCCCATTTAACATTTCTAAAACATTATTTACGTGGATGTCTGCATTGAGGACACACACAGGCAGACCACACACTGTGTGCCAAAGCGTGCATGACACACACAAACACACACACACAATCGGAGCTGGGAATCTGGCCCTGTTGATAATGCTCCATTAGCCTAGGCTGCAGAAAAGCTTGCCAGTCCTTCAAAAAGCTGCCAGAGCTGTTTTATGCCAACTCTTATTCCAAGAGAATACAAAAGAGAGCAGAGAAAAAAATCCCATTGCTTCTTCCTCAATGTTCCTCCCATCTTTTAATTATCCTCTTTTCTCATTTATGTCCTCATAGTTTTCATAGCTTTACACTGTACCACGCGTACACCAATAAAAATGGTGTCAGTCTCATTAGGAGCACTGCGTTGATTCAAAGCAATGAATGCCCTGTCACCTCTGATGTTCATTGGTTCGGGGGTCATTCCCCAGGGTGAGGGGATCACCCACAGAGAGTTTGGCCTTGAGATGAAATGGTAAAGTGTCCAGACTACTGTAGCATAAAAGCTTTTTACCCACTTACCTGGAGAGTGAGAAGACTAGACTAAGACTAGCACACTGTTGTGCTTGCAGCTCTGTGAGCAAAAGCACTCTGAGCTTAATGCCAACATCTGCATGCTACCATGCTCACAGTGATCATGCTAACATGATCTGTTTAGCAGATTTTATTGTAATCACTATTTTAGATTTGTTACA